TACGTGAACGACCAAAAAATACTCTTTTTGTTTAAGTTGTGGTTCAATCCATATCCCGACACTCTGTACTCAGCTAATATTTGATGTAGGCAAAGCTAGATTTTTTTAAAAATTTTCTTTATGTTTCCTTGCTTCCAAGTTGGCTATATAGGTATTTAATCTTTGGGTTGTTTTTTCCTTAATGAGCTTGGCCCATATCTTCCCATGATGGCTGGTTGTAGTGTGTTCCCTAGGAAAAATTTGGATTCCCTTTGCTAGCTATTGGTTTTTCAAGCAAATTTCAGATGGCTATTGGAGTTCTTCTCTACCTTGGTTTCGCCTATGCTAGGAATACTTGCTGTTGGTTTCCCATGCTGTTTCGGTTTTCCCTAGGCTTGGTTTCCTACTGCTGGTCGTTCTGATACCAAAATGATGAAAAAAAAAACACAAATATTACACAAACTAATATTGCAAACCAAAAATAATTTTTTTATTTAAAATATTGACAAATATAAAACAATATAACCTTGTTATTTTTAAATTAAAAACACAACTAAATGACACCCTTCAACTTAAAATAAAATAACTTATTAAAGATTTGCGAAGAAAGTTACAAATGGAATGAGAACTCTGGAGAGAAGAAGTAGATAGAGGGCCAAGACGAAGTAAAAGAAGTAAAGTAGAGGAAGATTGCTTGCAAGCTAAATAACCCACAGATTGTAGTATCTAAATATTCATCATCATTCACCACCCCTGTTCGAATGGCCAACAACAGGAAACCAAGCTCATGGAAAATCGAAACAGCATGGGAAACTAGCAGCAAGTATTCCCAGCATAGGAGAAATCGAAATTTTCTTGGAGAATTCCAACAAACATTCGAAATTTGCTTGAAAAATGAACAACCAGTAAAGGGAATCCAAAATCCAAATATTTCCTAGGGAACACAGACATCATGGGAAGATATGGGCTAAGCCCATTAAGGAAAAAACAACCCAAAGATTAAATACCCATATGACCAACTTGGAAGCAATGAAACATAAAGAAAATTTTAAAAAAAATCTAGCTTTGCCTGCATTAATATCAGTGCATCAATGATTGTGGGTTTTAACTTTACTCTTTATGATATTTGATCATTGGTTTGCCTTGGTGGGGATTGTGCCATCTCGACTTTATTTTTGGTGAAAACATTCTTGTTTCACTTAAATGTATGGTGGGCAGGTAAGAACATACGATAAGTCGAACTAAATGTTCTTGCCTCCATGTTAAAAGTGAACGATTTAGTAAATTTCATACAATATAGGCAAGCTAATTTGCTTGCAGTTCTCCAACTTGATAGCATAATGTATACGGGAAGGTCACTAATTGTCCAAAGTAAAGATGTCCTCATGATGAAATTCTATTTGGCGAAAATAATAATATTATATGTAGTCTTGCCTTCTTCCCACAACAATTTAAGTCATCAATTAAAAGTTGCAATAACACATCTTTTTTTGCTTTTGAATTATGTAGGTCTTAAATAATGTGTATGAAACATGTAGGGTGTTGTCATACATATTTTTGTTGCTGGCCATAATGAGTAAGGTGAAATTTTTTCAAATGGAGTAAAATCATCTGTGCATAACCCAAATCTTACATTTCTTAGTTCTACGACATGCGTAGGATGTGAACGGTGCTCTCTAGCCTCAGCTTCTGACAAATGAGTTAAAACACCTCTTTGTGAGATATATTTATTGTGCTATCTCATGTGTGCAACAGAGCTCGTTGGTGCATATAGATTACAGTCTGGGAATAATGGGCAAGTAGATCAATCTACTAACTGACACATCCTTCTATTTTATATGTTTTTTCATATTTTGGTTTAAATCTTGGTGCACTGCAATGGCGGCATGTTATCTCTGATAAATCATCCTTGTAGAACAACTTGTATCCATTAATATAACAATCTATTTTTATAACAGTCAAACCCAATATGTTAACCAATTTTTTAGTCCTATATAAATTTGCTGGAATTATATTATCTATAGAGTTGTTCTCCTTAAGTAGCCAAACAAATTGATTAAAATATTTCAGGGAATATTATATTCAATTTTTATGTTCAATATTTTCTAAGTGATAAATAACTCTGAGTGATTATTATACCATCCCAATTAATTGTTGTGTAACGGGTAATAAATCATAGAAGTTCTGCTTTTGTATTTGTTGACTTTTTCATATATTGTTGAAATTGTGGCCCAATTGTATTATAAGTCATATCTTCATACATCCTAATTTTTTTTCCTCATCTATCTTGGAACTTGTTGATGGAACACATTGAGAGTTGAAATACGGTTCGTACTCACAATGTGAAGTCCAAAACTAATATTCTTGCATGAATCCTCTGCGATATAAATCAATATTAACCTCATTTGGTGTGAGGTACACTTAGTTTTTGTGCTTTGAACAAGGACTACAAAATCTCCCATTTGATATAAGAGAAGGTAGGTTAAAGGCTGACTTCATGACAAAATTTATGCCGTTGATGAATTCATCTATTAATGTCTTGCATCTAGGAAACCGTCAATTATACATACAATTTTTTTTATTTTGAATATCCATATCAGATGTGATCGATAAAGCCCTACACGCAAACATTCTCATTGAAACTGCAGAGTGGAATCCACATAATAAAAATGTATGAAGTAACATCTGAATAATATAGAAATGTGAACTATTGGTAAGTATTTTAAGTTTACCTTGATAGTCAAAATAGAGAAGTTCTATCCTTGATGATATTTTCAAATTCTTAGGTCATAAATTGATTTAAGATTTTGAAAATTCATAATTTCATATCCATAGAGCATTTTCTAAGAAGAGATGTCCACTAATTTTACCCCGATCTAAATTTGTAGATCTTCCTTAAAAATCATGAAAACCCTAGTTCAAGGTGTCTTTGTAAAATAAAAAATTCCTCTTTAACCCAAATGATTTGAAATTTTAAGGGATTGCTCCTAATGTCTTTAGGGACTTCTAAAATCAATTTTATTATGTTTTGAATTCATTTGGTTATAAAAGTAGCAAATCCTAATTCCAAGCTATACAGGGTGACATAATTGAAATAGAATAGAATAGAATATATATATATATATAGAGAGAGAGAGAGAGAGTTCTGTAATAACTTAATTAAATATAAAAAATCTAAACTCAATTTCATTGAACTTATAATTTATTAGGAAATCCAAGAAAAATCTATAACTCTAATTCACTAATCAAATGCACTATGTTTATCCACAAGGAAGTATTTAATTTTGCAAAATTAAAACCATTACTGAAAAAAATATCGTTCAACTTATTTCTAATGTAAAAAAGAATTTGAGGAGGTGACACACTAATATGCTTACAGCAAGGCGAATGGCGACAGAAGCTACGGCGACTAGCGACGGTCAGTGGAGAAATGATGGACTTCAAGGAGTAATGTGTCTGTGAACGAAGAGTCCAATCTGTCCAAGAATGGCGAATGATGACGATTGAGACCAAGGGGCAGGCTAAGGCTCAGCTTTGTGTGAAAATAGCTTTTGGAAGGCTGTTTTGCTTGAATTGGATGAGGGGACGAGACGGTGGAAATAGGGCCTTCACCGATGGAATTTTCGCCGGAACGTCCAAAATTAAAACTGGCGCCCTCTCCGCTAGTGATTCCGACGAGTATTTTTTCAGCAAAAGAATTCGTCGGAAATTGCTATTATTTCTGCAGTGTGTGTTGCGTGACAGGGAAAGAACGAGAGGGAGTGAGCGATCACGAGAGATGAGGAACCGGAGGGGTCACACTTGATTTGAGAGAAGATTGGAGCACGTGCACTAGTTAATATGAGCTGCTGGCTTACTCCATAATGATGCACTTTGCGTGAATGCATGAGCTGTAGGTATTTCCGGGTCTTTATGAAAGCAAAGATTGATGAATCTCTGTAGCTGGTGCAGTGGATTAAGCTGTGGGTATGAGTTTAAGCTTATTCCTGAAAGTTGTCCTAAAGGTAATCCTAGGGAAGGGGCCTATGGTGGGCTGGTTTCAGAACCATGAGGGAAGAATCTAGCCTTTTACAATTATCTTGTTTTTTTTATTCCTTTGGGTTGAGCGAACTTCCTGCTTTATATCAAAGATTGGAGCTGTTCTTACAGGATGGTTGAAGCATTATTTGGACTGAAGTTTATGCTTTGGTTGTTAGGAATGTAATCTAAGGACTAAGACCAATTTTTGGAAGGGTTCTTATCTGAATACGAAGATTAAACAATTGTTGCCTCACTTTAATTTCGGATTTGAGAATATTTTGCATGAAGGGAATTCTACTACTGATTGACTTGCTAATGAGGTTGCAAGTTCAAAGATTCTTAGGTGCATTCATTCAAAGATCCATGTATGGTTTACTTGTTGGGATTATCAAATTGGATGGATGCGATTTTCCTTATTTTGCGTGCTGATGCTGTTTTGGTTTCTTTTGTTTTTATTTTGTATTTTCACTTTTCGATTATTGTGCTAAAAGCATTTTTCTTTAATCTTTTTGAATGTCTTTAACTATGGTATCTCTTATTCTTGTGAATACGCCACACCCCACCCACTCATCTGGTGGTCTTTCAGAAAAAAAAGTAAAAAATAAAATATCCAAGATTAATAACTTTCATTTCTTGAAATTTTGGTTTCAAAGTTTCTTCGCATCTAAATCTACATTGTGACCTTATATCCTAGAATGTCCTACATCTGGTTTGCAGGAAGGCTTCATTTTGAAGTGCAATGCAAGGGCCATGTCACATAATGATATGATAATAATGGATCTTACTCCCTGATAATGAATTAATAAAATGTATTTTTTTTGTAGAAAACCAACTACAATCACATTAAATTAACCTTTCGACATCACTTATGCTATGTTATGCATTCTTCACATTTACCTTATTCTTTTAGCTTGTTTCCTGCATATCTTTGTTTCTGTATAAGTGTAGCATCTTTGCATGTTTCTCATACACATGCCTCCTCTTTATTGCTAATTTTTCAGCTTCTTGAAGAATAATGTATCCCAAGTGATTGAGCCCCCTTCAAAAGTTGCAGAGGAGGAATTGCCTCAGCAACAAGAGGTGGTACTGCTTGAAAGGACTCAAAATGATGGGACGTCTGAGCAAATAGTATTTTCTTCTGCAGCAGATGTTGATGTATATGAACTACAAGCCTTATGTGATAAGGTAAAAACTATATAGCGTTACCTAAACATTAGACTTGTGAATTGTCTCTCCCTTCTTAAATCAGCAAGAATATGTGGGATTTAAACTTTAAATGCTTAGTTTGAGTATTGTTTCTTTGTGAGAAATATGAAAACCGGTCATTTCATTTTCATTCATGTTTATTGCAAGTCTTCTTATGGTGTGGAAGTCATCATAAACACAATTATTAGCCTCATCCAACCATTTGAGTATTGTTTTATGAGTTCTACTTTTCAATTCATTTATTGTGAGCGTGCATTAGATTTTAGTTCTAGCTTACAAAAGCTTTTTTTCTCAAGCTATTGCCATGATATTTTTAAACTACATTTTCACCATATTCCTTTCAAGTTTTTTGATTCTCACTGTCGTACTTATGTATCTATTATTATTATTACCCGGTACGGACACTCAAATTAACGAGGTAGGAATAGACGATTGGATGGTTATTATAGTTCTTTCAATAACATAAAATACTTAACAAACTAACATCCAACATTTAACTGAAGTGCCTCTAAAACAAATTTTTCAATTTGAACATATAATAAATCAATTCTTACCTATTTTCTTTTGATCACCTTTTTTTATAGACGAATTCTTTTATTTCAAACATTTATTTCTTAGAGGATTTACATGATATGTAATTTAACATTTTGTGTTTCATTGTAACTCAGTGGATAATTACAGTTTATAATATAACAATTAAATCTAAACTACCGGCAACTCCCAAGTGAAGCCACAAGTCCCAACCCAAACCAAATCTACTTGTATCTATCCACTTCACTTTACTCAGGATCGTTGAAAGAAGACAACTCATGACTGCTAATCAAATTCTCTAGAAACTATAATCAACGATTGTTAGTGTTGGTAGACTGAAACCTACGGTACACCTGGGATGATGAAACCATGAGATCTTGATCGGGTTTACCTCCATCCCCCCACAACCAAAATTTTAAATTGTTGCATGTCTAAGCATTGATTTATCTTTAATTGAGAGGTCTCTTCTATACTTTAGGAGGGATAATTAACTATGAAGGCTAGCACTTTTAGGAAGTAGAACATCAAAACTAAATAAACTCTGATGCTAATCATTGAGGAAATTTGGTTAATCTAAATTCCAATCTACATCGGAGAAAATGAGACCTTAAACTTGAGGAAGCAGGGTTTGTTCTGTAGTACCATATTTTCCTGAGCAAACAAAATGTCGGCACAGGTACACTAATCATCGCTGTCTTCAACTCCCGAAAGGCTCGGGTCACTTCCTACTCCCACTTGAAATTATCTTTTTTCAATTGCTCCGTTAAAGGTCTTACTATGGTATCATATTCCTTCACAAACTTCCCGTAATAGTCGGTGAGCCTGAAAAGCCCCTGCATCTCCCTCAAATTCTTAGGAAGAGGCCAGTCCACCATGGCCTAAATCTTGGACTGGTCAGCTAACACCCCCTCTCTGGACACCACTTGCTCTAAATACTCCACCTATGATTTCCCAAATGTGCACCTTTTCAAGTTGGCAAACAGTTGATGCTTCGTCAATGTCTCCATGAGAGTCTTCAAGTGCTCCTAGTGTTCTGTATGTCCTGTTGTATATCAAAATGTCATCAAAAAATAAGGATAAACCTTCAAAGATATGGTTGGAACACTCAGTTCATTAGTGACTAGAAGGTGGTAGGGACATGGGTAAGGCCAAAAGGCATCACCAGGAACTCGTATTACCCTTCATGTGTCCTGAAGCCCGTCTTGTGCACATCTGCTATCTTCATCCTGATTTGATGGTATCCCAACTTCAAATCAATTTGGAGAAGATTGCAGCTCCGAATTCCTCATCCAAGAGTCTATCACAATAATTGGAAACCTATCTCGCATCGTTTCCTTGTTAAAGAGCCCTGTAATCCACACAGAACCTCTAGCTGCCATCCTTCTTCACCAACTGTATCGGGCTAGAGAAGGGACTCACACTAGGTCTGATGATTCCTACTTCTATCATCTTCCTGATCAGCCTCTCTATCTCATCTTTCTGGATCTGAGGGTAACGATATGGTCTTACACTGATGGGAGAAGCACTTCTTTCAAGTTGATGGCATGCTCGTGCTCTCGAGGCGGTGGTGATGTAGAACTATGAATGATCTAAATAATTGATATAAGAAGTTGCACGCTTTCAAGTAAGAACAATAATAATTAAAGCGTTAATCACTTAACGAAAATGAAAATAAGAAAGGGGTGCCTTAGTTTAGGCCAAGTCACACAATAATAGCTAGGATCACAAAATAATTAGAAACTTCAACATAAGAAAATATAGAGGATTTCGAATAACATCCCTAGATTAACAACGAGATTATATGCAAAGAAGTCCATCACTCATTCCGTACGTTTACTAAGCTTTGACAAATAGCTTTGCACGATTTCTTATGCTTGATGCACAACCTACAATCGAAGAAGATTAGGAAAGAAATTGAAGAGGGGGAAAAGAGTTCACCCTTGTCTTGGCATGGCGGTGATTTGCCACTGAATGGTAGAAACCTGTTCTTCAATGGCTTCCGAAAGAGTGAATATGATACGCTCCAAGTATGCCTCAACGGAATTATCTACCTCTGGATTGACGTCGAAGAAAGGTGATCGGAGGATGCCGACGAAGCCTTATTCGTTGTAGACGAAGCCAGAGCCGAGTTCAGGATCGGCCATATGTATGATACATAGTGTTGAGGTATTGTGGAAGACACCCTTTGCTGTCCTTGAGGATTCATTTTTTTTTTCTTGAGAGAAAGAAGTTTCTCCAAGGAATCCAAGTAGGAGAAGGGGTGAGAGGGTGACTGGCCAAGTTAGGGAGCTTGGGAAAGTTTAGGTTCAGATTTTAGAGGTGTTAGGGTTAGGGGAAGGCCGACTAGGTTAGAGAGGGTGGCGGGGAAATATAATTCAAATTTTAAAGGATGGAGGATGGAGGATGGAGAAAAATTAGATAATTGTTTCCCTAATTAATCCCCTAAAGTTGGAAGGATTTTATGTAGGATTAGAGAAAGGGAGGGGGCGGGTAAGAGAGAGAGAGAGGAAAGGGTTTGAATTCTACCCCAAGTGAGAGGCTTAATTTTGGAAAGCAATTAAGTGGTGGGGACAAGGAGGGGGGCCGGCGGCATAGAGAAGGGATGTGGGGTTTAGGAAAGGGATTTAATAGTTGCTTAAGTGGGAATCCCAAATTAAGGAAGAGGATTTAATTCCAATCCAATTCAAAATTAATTTGGATTTGATTTAGACACTTTCCTAAAATAAAACTTCGTATTTTAGGAAACAAATTCAAATTCAAATTGATTTGAATATGAATTAAATGGGTTACCTAAAACATAAAGGCCAAATTAGGAAGGGCTTTTATTGCATGCTTTGATGGGGGAATTCAAGGGGGTGGCGGCTAAGGTTTGGATGTAGGCCGGCGGCTTAAGGTGGTGGTTTGGACACCAGTAGTGTTGAGGGTGGTGAGGTGTTGGCCGAAAGGGAAGGATGGGGAAGGGGCTTGGAGCTTGTGGTGGTTGGAAACCCTAGACCGACAGCTAGGAAGAGAGGGGGAAAGAGGAAAAGAAAAGATAGGGAAGAACGAGCTAGCCATGAACTCGGACACTTCCAAGGTTGGTGGGTGATCCGTTTCCCTCTCCTAGGGATTTCTCTCCAAAGCTCTCAAGCTCTCACACAAACATAAGATTGCATGAATTTTTTTTTTATCATCCATTCATTATTGCTCTCAAAGGAGAGGTTGGACTCAATGTTTAAAATTGCACAATTAGGTATTGAGGCGTTTTTTATTTGTGAGACGAGGCGTAAGCCTCAAGGCGTTTTGAGGCGTGAGCCTCAAAATAAAAAATTGCTTTAAGTGCAAATAAATGTTAAAAGTAAATTTAATATAATACTCAAATAATATGCTAAAAATGACATTATCTTTCTATTGAATTATGAAATAACACAATGATATACATATGTCAAAAGTTAGATTAAAAAAAAATCAATGACATATATATGAAGCAAAAAATTTCACAAGACGTAAAGTGGCTAGTGATAAATTGCATGAAATATACTTGAAATACAAATATTGCATGAGCAAAAAATTATTAAATATAGAAATTGCATAAAAGTATCATATAACATTAAGTTTAACTTCAAATTCTTTCTTTCTTAGTTCCCTACTCATCTACATTTAATTTTTAAAAAAGACTGAAAAGTTAGCAACAACTAAAAAATCATATGTATTATCATCACTGAGGTGATTTTTATTTGAGTCGTCATTATAACAAATTGATATCTCCTGAGGAGAGGCTCTCCTCAAGGCGGGCCTCAACCAAGTTGTGGCGCAAGCCTCATAAAAAAAACCGCGTATGCTTCGAGGCGTTTTTCACTGAAATTGCGTAAAGGCGGGCCTCATATTGCGCAATTTTAAACCATGGATGGACTTAAATAGTCCAATACATGAATGGAAAAATAAAAGATAACATTGCCCCTAGGGCTTACATATGACAAGATCCTTAACTAAGGGTAAAATGAAAAATGCTAATAAAACAAATACATAATGCAAACAAATAAAACAAATACATATGATGAATCAAAAATAGATCGTCGACCACGTCTCTGATATACTTTCCATGATCTGATGTCCCCATCAGATGAATACCCGACTAGTGGTTGAAATACATCCTGATATTATTGCAGAATTTGCTAGGCGCTGACTGGAATCTCCCTTGCCTCCTATTTTTGGACCCCTTTTATGCTTTACAACTCTTTTAAATATCCTCGGCTTGCATCCTGGATTGCCCTAAGCATGGTTTTGCTTAACTTGGTATCCCCTTGAAGCACTACCTTTTTCCCTTCCACCTGTATCTCCTTGGTTAATGGCTTCTAGTTCACCTTTATATCTCCCATAGTATGTATCCACTTTATTCATAGAACCCATTTGTACTTCCCAACTCTATGGGAAGAAAGTTTTCCACCATCTGAATACCCTACAAGTTCATCACCACCCATTTACATATTTCATTGCTCCTCTCTAGCTTGCTTGTTCCCATCATCACCCCACATCCTTCTGTCCTTACTAATTTCAACTTCAATCGGTCCACCACCCAATTTGAGATGAAGTTATGTGTAGCTCCGCCATCCACCAAAAGTACGACAAATTGCTCACCAGTTTGCCCCTTACTTTTATGGTATGATTTGGAGTAAATCCCACCACAAAGTTCACAGATATATCTGCCACATCCAAGTACAACTGTTCTGTCTCCTCCTGTACTTTCTCCCCTTTCCAATCAGCCCTAGGAGCAGCTGGCGAAGCCTTTGATTGCATCTCGATCAATGTTTTCATCATGCTTTCCATGTTTCCAAAACACTCTCCATGGAGGAAAACCTTCCATCCATTTTGAAAAATCTTTCCTCAATCGGCCCTAAGTTGTTCCATCTCTCCTTTCAAAGCTTCCTTCTTCTTTGTTGTCATTCATAAATTTTGGGCTCCAAACCGCGAAAACAACAAAAATTTGTGAATTTGATCTCGAAACAGCGAAAATTAGCAAGGTGGAAAAAAATTTCAGTATAAATCAATGATTGGGACCTTAACTTCAGCTCAGGACACCTCTCTGATATCAATTTGATATGCCTTAGAGTGAAAACAACGAGATAACTACACAAAAATAGTAGTAGATTGAGAGACAAGGGATGATTCTTATATTAATGCTCTAATACAAAAGGAAGATATAAATTCAAGGTTTAAAATTGCAGAATTGAGTATTGAGGCGTTTTTCATTCGTGAGGCGAGGCGTAAGCCTCAAGGCGATTTGAGGCGTCAGCCTCAAGGCGATTTGAGGCGTCAGCCTCAAAATCTAAAAATTGCATAAAATCAAAATAAAAGTTAAAATTGATTTTTTATATAATATCCAAATAATAGGTTAAATGATTATATATTAACTTTCTATTGAACTATGAAGTAAACAAATTTATATACCTATGAAATAAAAAATTGTATAAGATGCAAAGTGTTAAGTGATAAATTATGTAAAATAAAATTGAAATCCAAAAATTATAGGAACAAAATAACATAAAATATATGAATTGCATAAAAGCTATGATGCACCGACACTTCTCAAAGAGGCGTGCAATGTCCGACACCGTATCCGACACGACACTCGCCCGACACTGGTCAGACACGCCGAAAACGTGTCCGATTAAAAAATATTAAATACAAATTGGACACACATGTCCGACATGCGTATCTTAAATATTTTATGAATTTTTTTAAATATAATTTCTTGTATTTGGCGGGATTTAAACTAAATTTATTATTTCCTATCCACAACACCAAATCAACTTCCGCACTTAATAACCAATCATCAAATATTCTCATTTTCTTTTCTTTTTGGCAGTGAAGGTATTTTCATCTCCTCTTGGTGATTGATAAACGGCATCGACGTCTGACTCTCGACATCCTAATACTAATAATTTTAAACACAAGTTCTAGTTAAATGACTTATTATTTTCAAATTATTTTTAAAATTATATTTATTTAATTTTTATACACTATTTTTTAAATATAAAAACAATAATACCGTGTCCAACCCGTGTCCGTGTCCTATATTTTCAATAACTGACGTGTCTGTGTCGTGTCGTATCCGGGTTGCAGTGTCTGTCTCTGTGCATCATGGCATAAAAGTATCATAGAACATCAAATTCAGCTCTAATTTTTTTATTTCTCAATTGCTACACATCTACATTTAATTCTTAAAGAAACTTAAAATAATTAGCAACAACTCAGAAATCATTTGGACTATCATTACTAAGTGGATTTTTATTTGATTCATTATCATAACAAATTGGTCTCTTCCCTGCCTCATCCTGTAGGGTCCAATACATCTCAAACTGTTTCTTCTTCATTTATTTCAATCATCTTCATCTTTCATAAATATTTGTTATCAACATAAAGATAATACTCCAAATTTTTAAGAGATGGTGGTGACATGCGGCTTTCTAGTGATCCCCTACGGCAGCTATAACAGTGGTGGCTACGGTGAAGGTTGTTGGGCTAGAGGTCGAGACAATTGAGAAGAAGTTATTGTGGCATGATTTTTTTGGGGCTTTTGTATAAGAGTTAGGTGAGTTTTAAATAAAAAAATACATAAATAGAGTGAGGCGTATGCCTCATGCCAGTGAGGCGAGGCACGCCTCAAGGCGTTCCTCATCCAAGATGAGGCATAAGCCTCATAAAAAAAGTTCGAGGCGTAAGCCTCATAAAAAAAGCTCGAGGCGTAAGCCTCGAAGCATTTTTTACTAGAATTGTGCTGAGGCGGGCCTCAAGGCGAGCCTCATATTGCGCAATTTTAAACAATTGATATAATAATCTAAAAATAAGAGATGTAGATCGTCTCTCTCGCTAAACTTAGATGCCGCTAGGAAGCTCTCACAAAAAGAAAATCCAGCAAAAATAACTCCAATTATGCATAAAAGAAAATGAACCCTAACTTAGCCTTAAATACTCTTCTCCTCCTTTCCCTCCTAAGCAGCCCTCTCCTATTTGAATTTCAATTAGAAAATTCCTTTCCTAATTAATCCTCTCCTAACATAAGTAATTATATCCCCGTTGGACAACACTACTTTAACTGACCTTCCTCCCCTCTCTTCCGTCGAACCTACCTAGGCTGAGATTTACTGGGTTGGCCGGTCCAGTGCTACATGGCTCGCTCCTTGCGGGATGCCTCTGCTTCCTTCATATCACCAGGCTCTTGTTGATACGTCCAAACTTTATGACTTGGAGATATACAACTAAATGCTAGAATGCCTTTCCCATTCCAAATCACAAAGTGGATACACCCAGGTATAATAAAAGAGAAGTTAAATATTCGCAAATTAAGAGGAGAGTAATATGAAGAACTTATAGCTTTTATTGTAAAACTCAAAATATTTTGCAGACTCTTAGAAAGACTTGCCAAGACTAAAGACAACTTCAAAACTAGGCGCACACAAAGCTAACAAATTATCTCCTTATATAGATGGAGAAAGGATCGAACTTGCATAATTTAATTTTGCATCCATAAATATTTTATTCAACTTTTATAAAGTGATTTTAATAAATCATAATTTTTATGAAGTATCTATACTAAAGCAGATCTTGTCAACTTTGCTAATTTGTTTGTAGAGGATTAGGTCACTGATTAACATTTGCAATTGCATATGTAAGACCATGGTTTAAAATTGCGCAATATGAGGCTCGCCTTGAGGCCCGCCTTTGCGCAATTCCAATAAAAAACGCTTTGATGCTTACGCCTCGAGTTCTTTTTATGAGGCTTACGCCTCAACTTGGTTGAGGCCCGCCTCACCTCACTGGCATGAGGCTTACGCCTCACGCTATATATATTAAAACTTACATAAATCTTGAAGTAAATGCCCGACATTGGACTCTGTAGGAGAGGAGGAAGGGGAGAGAGCAGTTCATCATAATGATGATTCAAATGAAGAACCCCTTAGTGATGACAATGCTGATGACTTATGAGTTCTTATGTGATATGTCATTGCTATTTATTTTTGGAAATTGAAATTATATTTTAATGAAAAGAATATTGAGATTTGGGAAAGATAGAATTTTGAGTTGAACTATATTTCATGTTGTCTTATTAGTGGGATATTTTAATTTCACTTCATATCTTATGTTTTTTATGTTTTATATTATTCACTCATTAGAATTTAAAAAATTTATCATTTTATGCTTACGCAATCTTTTGATTTTGAGGCTTGCGCCTCAAAACGCCTTGAGGCTTACTCCTCGCCTCACGAATGAAAACGCCTCAATACCCGAATACGCAATTTTAAACATTGTGTAAGACAATATCATTGAGGACTGAGATTGGATATTTGATTGTAAATTTTCTCAGTTCAAAATTTTGCTCCAATTAGCATTGTTATAATTTACGGAGAGGTAGATGTTTTATCTACTCTGGTGGGGACGCAGAGGATTGAATTTCAGGAGTGTGACTTATGATGCTGTCTAAACAAAATGGCTAGCCGGAGCACATCAGGTGAAATAAGAGTTTAAATTTTCACTTGAAAAAAGAGTTTGTGAATTAAAAAAAAAAAGAAAATAGTTGTTTTTTTTTTTCAAAAAGGCATTGTATGATACTTAGAGTTGGGTGAATTCAAATTTTATCTTATTTTTAGTCCGTGCAACATGTTCAGACTGTGTTTAGACATTTACCGTACTTGTTAGATCACATAGGGATATTTTATCTTTAGTATTCCTGCACATTTTTTTGATGCATATGCATGATGCATTTGCACATTTCTTTCTGCATTTATATGATGTACTTGCATTTGTTGACTGTAACGGCAAAACCAACCGCTCATTCCACCGACATACTCAAACGATCGGACACGACGGTTCAACCACCGCCTCTCTCACGGCATAAAAATGCTTCTCTCGTTCGGTTAACATATACGCACACAAAGCTCTGAGAATCGGAAGAAAGGGAAGTTGGACGACTGCATGTGTCTTGAGATGATTCAAATTTAAGTTCTTTTTTATTTTAGCCCGCGCAACATTTTCAGACTTTAAATTTAGGAGTTTAAAGTATTTGTGAGAGCATATGTGGGCGAGCTTATTTTAAAAGTTTAAACGGAGTTTAGAAATACTGCATATTATTTTTAAATTTTAAGGAGAATCTCTCCTCGGCAATGTTCTTAATTTCCTGTAAAAAGAAATCTGCTCGCAGATTCCCAGAGGAATGAATGAAATGTCTGTTTCACCTTTTGCAGATTTTTAGCATATATTTTTCTTCAAGTTCTGAAAAAAGTTCAGTTCTTCCTGTAAATCTCCTTTTCTGTAAATTGTATGTTTCAACAGTATTAAAGCAAAACTTTGTCAGGATAGGTTGGATGGCCACGGAGACCATTATCAAAAGTGGTAGCATCTTTGAGGAATAGCTACATGGTTGCTACCTTGCATTCAATAACTACGTCTCATGGTTCGGGTAATTGTATACTTCGGTAAATATTTTGTTGTTTCTTACTATTGAACTATTAGCTTAGATTCTCTGAGTTCGAGAAAAAAATGTCTTTGAGATTCTTTTGATTAAGTAATGAACATCTTATCATACTTATAAAAGTAAGTTAACAGATGGAAAAGAGCAAAAACAACTTATAGGCATGGCTCGTGCTACATCTGATCATGCTTTTAATGCTACAATTTGGGATGTCCTTGTTGATCCTTCCTATCAGGTATGAGCAGTCTTGATTGGTAATTTTTGGGGCCTTAAATTTTTTGGTTAACTTTGCAAGAAGATTTTTTGGTCATAATATCTGGCTTTCTGTGTGAAAAAGATTCCTCTCGTCAGTAATTGACTTGTAGGATTTTGCTCCTATAGGGCCAGGGTCTTGGCAAGGCACTTGTTGAACAGGTAGTACGGGCATTACTACGGCAGGATATTGGCAATATCACATTATTTGCTGATAACAAAGGTGTGTTAATTCATTTGCTACTTAGGATTAATTTCTAGCCTACTTTTCTCATATCCAATATATGTGAAGAGTGATTTGGCATCTGCTTAGAATCTTCTCTTTGATTTTATTCTACATGCCTCGTAAAATAGCTGTAAAAATATCATGACTTTTGATTCTCTATTTAGTACGAGTCCTATATAACAGTAAAAGTGGTTTTGATTTTTGTCTTAATGATGGAATTAAATTCTTTTTTTCCTCAATCCCTCTGTTTGTACACACACACACATACAAACATATCAGGCGTAGCGAATGAGTTCAAATCTTGCCAGGGTAGACTTCTTCTTGTGGCCCTTTTTTAAGGGATGGTAGGGTAATTTAGGCGACCTGCACATTATTTTGCTAACTCTGAGAAGTAAATTATGTCTGATGATGGGATGCATCAAATTGTAACGATGTTTTAGTCTTGAATTGGAAGCATAATTTTTTTTTTTCAAAGAATGGTTCGATTTCATGAGAAGGTAATTGTGATTTCAAAGTATGAAGATATTCAAATGATTTGTAGCCAAATATAGGATTTGATGATATCTTGCATGTATTAGATAATTTTGTTTGGTGAGTTTAATGGGTAAAATTATACTTTCAGAAGGTGTCATTTGATCATCCTTAAATTTTTCATGTTCTTGATGAATTATTACAATCATAATAAAAATTGTTGTAACTTGATCCACATGTAATTCATATGTTCTGCATCTTCAATTTGAATGTTATATAAAGTAATAATTTCTTACCCTATTAAAATTTGATTAAACCATGCATGTCTTGTATGTAAAATTAAAAAGTGAGGAAAAGTCTTTTTTTCTCCTAAAAGAAGTCTCTCTCTCTCTCTCTCCATGGTAGAATTATCATTTTCTACCCAATTAAAATTTGATGATTTGGCCTTCAAATGGAGGTTAAAATTATCTATTCTTTTTAATGGCATTACAACTCATAACATGCATGATCTCGAGAATTTAAGATCATTTGATCATCAATTTGATGAATCAAAACTTGCACAATTTATGGCTCCAATTGCATGTAAAGATAATTGTGATTTTATTGTGGAGAGCATTCAAATATGTGGGTTGTTGTTATTATCTTGCATGTATTTGACAGTTTTGATTGATGAAATACCAGAGTAAAACTAAGCATTTATAAAGGCTTCTATATGATCATTCTTATATTTTTTACATGCTTGAAAAATAATTAAATGACAATGAAATTTGATGTAGCTCAACCCACATGTAAGTTTTATATTGTAGATCACAATCAACGGTGTGATCATGAGTTTTAAGACTATAAAGTGATAAATAAAAGAAAGGGAGAAGAAAAAGTTTATTTACATGTGCATGTGCATATGCTCTAATTATTGTTAGATATCATTTAAACATTACTCAGATGCATAACTATTTTTTTCATAGTGTTAATGATGCTTGAATAATTATGTAAAATGTTGAAACTTAAATGTTATAAAATCACACTTAATAATGCTATTTTGAGTATGAGGACAATGTAGATAGGTGGATCAAAAAAGTAAAATTACGTGGACAATAATGTCCTAGGAGAAAAAAATCTATCTCATATACATATATCTACGGGGATGGAATTTTCTTATCCTTGTAAGAAATTTTTCTTTCTCTTCCTATTTAGATTGTTATGTTATGACATTCAAATGTTAGATGAAAAATTTTATTAAACTTAATGGCATAATCATTTTGAAGAACTTTTGAGATCATCTACTTACCAATTGGTGTATCAAAATTTTCTTAATTGGTGGTCTTGATCACATGAGAAGATAGTTTTGTTCTTCAACATATGATGTCTTTCAAATGGCATGAAATGGAATGAAGTGCATTATTTGATGTTGATATTTAGTGTGTATTTAATGATTTTGATTGCTAAAATACATGGGTAAAATTGGACTTTTATATGTTCTCCATTCATCATTGTTTCTTATAGGGGCTTGATGCATGTTCAAATTATTATAAATAATTGATGAAACTCAACCCAAAAGCAATTTATATGTTTTAAGGTGAACTTTGAAAGAACTTTGTTAAATCCATCATTAGTTGGATGTAGTTGGAGATTAACAATTATCTTGGGCTCTTATATATCCTCAAAATATCTCCAAGTTTTAATTTTGTTTTTAGAAACGAAAGAAGTGAAATTAAAATCATTTTCTTAAACATGTTTTCTATCTATAAGCAAAACTCAAGATTGCATGGTTGATTGTGGTCTATAGTATAAGAATTAAATGAAGATTGAGTTTCCATCAATTTTCATAAAGATTTAATCATTTGTCACTCACGTGAGAAATATAAGGATGATTGAATAGCATATGAAAACTACTTTTAAATTCTAGTTTCACTTATCTATTTCATCGAGAGACTAGCCAATACGTTTATAATATCATTAACAATTCCTGTATTTGTTGTCAATTCATTTGAAATTCTTTACAATTTAAAATCACAATTTTCTTGTCATGCACGTAGACCATCTATGTGAAAGTTTTGATTCATACAACTGACCAATGATGACAATTTTTAAAATCATGCATGTCACCAGTTAACTGATGTCGAAGAGATTGCATGGTTTCAATCTTACATTTAGGATAATAACATTGAAAGCTAATTAGGTGGAGAAGATTAATTCTCCTCCTAAGTGAAGAAAAATTCATCCTTATTTATATTTATATATACACGAACTAGCATTATGTAACGCAAATTTTAACAAAGATATCATAAAACTATTAAGGCATAAACTATTAAGGAAATGAGAATATTGAGTCAGTTCCTTTATCTGATATTAAAAAGGAGATTAATGGCGATGGCTTAGTAGAGTTTACTTGGTTCATGCAATTTGTATTTCCCATTGGTCTTAACCTTTTCAACCATGACTGAGCAAGATTCAATAAGGTGACTCCGAAGGTGGATCCAAGTGATTGATTAGGCTCTTGTTGCATGATATTTGACGTTGAAAATTTTTTTTGTTTGAGGGAAAGTGATGATCAATGTGAGCTCTTATATGGGGTGGCAGATTTTCAAGACACCTAGAGTATTGGTTTAATCCCCATTAGATAATTGAAAATATATATTGACATAAAAATACGAAGCAGTTGGCCATAACTCATAGGTTTTAAGTTTTTTGGCTGAAAATATACTTGACCACTGATTTACCATAACAGAATTCAATCCCCCTTTCCATGAATTTACCTTTCTGGTCAATTTTTTTCACTCTAAATCGGGAAATGTAGCAACTGAGGCAACCTGCAATTTTATGTGCTAAATATGAACTTAAAATATTTTAGTTATGAGTCATATACTTTCCATTTAATGGAAGAAATAATCAGCTCAGGATCAAAAGATGAAAAACAACTGCGGTGGGGTGTGGTGGGTTGGGGAGAACTTTAACTAAATGTATACGTGCACAAATTCATACAACAACACCAAGTCTTTGTCCTACTACGTGGGGTCGGCTACATGAATCCTTTTTCGCCATTGTGTCCGGTTAAAAGTTAAATTCTCATCTAAATCTAATAAAGAAATACCATTTCTAATATTTTCTAACCAAGTATTTTTAGGTCTACCTCTACCTTTCTTAACATAAGCCAAATCTAATACCTCAACTTTCCTAACCGGGTCATTGGAAGGCCTCCGTTTAATGTGACCAAACTGTCTAAGGCGACTCTCTCTAATCTTATCTTCCACTGGGGCTACTCCAACCTTTTCACGTATATGCTCATTTCGTATCCTATCTCTAATGGTCAAGCCACCCATCCACCTAAGCATCCTCATCTCTTCAACACTTAACTTAGTATTATGCTTCTCTTTTAATGGTCAACATTCGGCACCATAAAGCATTGCAGGTCTCACCACCATCTTATATAATTTTTCCTTAAGTTTGAGGGGAACTTTTCTATCGCACAATAACGTGCACAAATTCATGAAACAGTAAAAAAACAAGAAACAAACAAAGAGCATCAGTACTGATAATAATCACACATTGCATAAAACAAAGTGCATTCATATAGTAAAAGTTCAAAATAGTCCTCTAACTGTTGAGAAATGTCTGATTTAATCTCAGAGTTTTTCATTGCTCCAATTTAATTCCTCAACTATTAAAAATTAAGTTAAATATGAAAGGTATTTTAGGTACTACTAGTGAATATGAAATTAGATTACTTATATTACTCAATTATCATTTTATTATAGTAAATATTTAATTAACTACATAATAATGGTAAAGAAATAGTAATTTTTTATTATTTTTTAAAGCAAAATATTACAAGATAAATATTATAGTTTTATATCATTTAAATATAATAAAAATGATTCTTCTTTTTTTGTCATATAATATAATTTTTATCATGTTAGATTTTGCTTTAAAAAAATAAAAATTTTATTATTTATTAACTCTTATTATGTAGTAGGTTAAATATGTATTATAACTTATTAAATGATAAAAACATTGAGCAATATAAGCAATATGATCTCATATTCACTTCTAATACCTAAAATATCCTTCATATTTAACTTTAGAGTTAACTTTAACTCTTATTTTAGACTTTGAGATTAAATTGGCTCAGTTTTTAATACTCGAGTGACTAAATCGGAGCAATTGAAAACTCAAAGTCTAAATTAGACATTTATCAATAGTCGATATACTAGTTAGAGCTTTTACTCTGCATTCACATAAGTTTAACTATTTCCTGCTGTTGAAATCTTTTTATTGGCATGTGCAGTTGTGGATTTTTACAGAAACTTAGGATTTGAAGCTGATCCTGATGGTATTAAGGGCATGTTCTGGTATCCAAGATATTAGTTAGATACATCCCTGCTGATGATACAGCTTGTATATGGTGTAAAATGCTGCAAGTTCTGCACCTTATGACAATTGAGGTGAGATATTGATGTAAATGCACCTTCTAACTTTTCATATATGCTTCATATTTGTTTGAAATTACATGTTTTACCAAACTATTATACACTTTGCTGCCATGAGAATTCAATTGCTTTTGTATTTATATATCTCAGCATTATTAACTCAGAATGTCTATTTCTTAGTTCAGACTGTATATTTCTTATTTTCAGGGCGTGTATCTCTGGTTTGAGATCTGATGGCTGTTGCATTAAGTGTTTCTTTGTTTCTAGCATGGACTGTGAAATTTGTTAAATTTTTAATGATTGTTCTTGTCATATAAATACATTTGGTTTGGTTTTCCATTGAAAGGAGAATTGTTTTGTAAATATGAAAATTTTAAATTTTAATAAAGCTTGTCTTATAAACGCATGTAGTGTTTATTTGGAGATTTATTTTTTATTTTACATGTTATTATAATTTTTTTTTTATTTTTTTACTCCAAATTAAATTAGTAGTGTTTTGTTTTTCATAATTACAGATGTCAATAAATGATTAGGTTTGGCAACCCAACACGAATTTGACTTGAAAATTTTGTCGGGTTGACTCGTTCAATAAGCAGATTGGGTTTGAGTTGACCTGATTTTGACCCGATAGAACTAATGCCCTATAGAAAGCATGATTAAATCGTAGCCGTTTGTTAAAAACCTATATAAGATGTTGCGCTTACTCTTGCTGGTTTGCATTCTTGATTTTTTATTTTTCATTTTCGGTTATTTTGCATTGCAGTGCCATTGTTGCCTAGCTTGACGTCGCACCTTCCTTCTCTAGCCTTGTCGCTATCATCATCTTCCCCAATCCAGGATAATTGGATATTGACTCCTTTGAATTCAATCAACCTGAACCTCACAAATTTCAAATAGGTTATACCGTTAGATTCAAATCATTCAAGTTGCTAGTAAGTTGGGTTGGGGATCACTTTTTTAACTGATTAATTAAGCGGGTCAAGTTTAGGCTGATGGATTTAAATTGGATCAATTTGAATTGAACCTGAATTGGACTTGTTAATCCATTTTGACAATTCTAAGTTAGACTATTGCCATTCAGAGCAACCAATTCAAAGTCTTTGAACCACTTGGCACTGATGTTTGTCTTTTTACCGTTATGTTGCTGTCCTTCATTTTAGGTGTTATGCTTTATTGCAAACATAATTTTTTTAACAACAATATTAAGCTTTTATAGCATTGCATGAGGTTGGATACATGAATCTTTTTTCTCTTGTTTATTATTAAGAGTTGATTTTTTATTTAAATTTAGTAAAAAAAATGATATTTTTAATATTTTCTAACTAAGTCTTTTTAGGCTACCTCAATCTTTCTTAATATAAGGCAAATTTAATACATTTACTGTCCAAATCGGGTCATCACAAGACTGCCGTTTTATGTGACCAAGCCATCTTAGGTGGCTTTTTTCTATTCTTATTTACAAATAGAGCTACTCCAATCTTTTCACGTATATGCTCATTTTATATGTTCTCTTCCACTCATCTACATCTCTGCAACACTTAATATTATATATTTTTTTAATAGCCAACATTTTGCGGCATAACGTAATTCTTTAACATTGAAAAAAAAAGTACATTACAAAACCTCAAATTTAACTTAACTATATATTATAATGAATTTAAATACATCCATCTATAATGCAAAATAAAATTAATGGAGAATAGATATTATATATCCTTTTAGAAGAAGAAGAAATCATTTTTTTTTTCT